AAACTTTGTACTATACTTACTTAATACTAAAAGAAATTCCCTTTAGAATGTCAAAACTTACTAGATGATTTTTTAATGAGTTTCTTGAGGAAAGTTTAGGTTAACACAGTTTTTGACCATAAAAACAAAGTTGTGAGTGGAAAAATAGTAGAATAGACATAACATAACATCACGCCTTTTATCTCGAAAGGGAGAGGCAGAGGTGCACTTTAGGGCATGTAATGGCACTTATACACTCATAAAATTAATAGTGAATGTTACGAGTTACTAGAGGGTGTTACAGTGTACTAGCACAATAGGCAACTAATAATTACCAGGGAGATCTTCCAAAGCTGTTGCTTCAACACAACTATCCAGACTCATGTCCAGACACGAGCCAGACTTCTGTTTGCACTTACAAGAGCCAGACACACAGCTGCACACATCACACACATTTTGTTTTGATGATTGTGATGAATTAACTTTGGATATACTGTAACAGAGCAGAATAAATGACAATTAATAACAGGTTTTGTATCAGTATGTCAAGAAAAAGTAGAATTTTACAACAAATTTGTGACTTGTATAACCTAAAATTTGTTTCAATATTTTCGTTTCAAAGCCTTTTCCTTAACAAAAACTGTTATTTTATCTTCTATGTATTGAAATATAAGATTTTGAAAGGAATATTTGTACATAATGTAGTGTAAATGCTAATATGCTTCAGTATAAAGTATTTGTGACTAATAAAATAAACTGATTAAAATTTCCAGAGACATAATAAGGGCATTACCTGAGCCTATCACTAGAAGTATCCTGTAATTGTATTTTGCTTATATCAGCATTAATAGCTAAGAATTTGACAACATCCAAAAGATTTGTACATTGCACCAACTTCTTCCTCAATATAAGAGGTTTACATGTCTCCACTGAAACAGAAAAATATGATTATTGTAAAAATATAATATAAACATACAAACTAGTACTCAACCATGTTTCAGATGTCAATACTATAAAAAATGTTATTTGTCTATCACTGTGATAATAAAATATGTTTTGTGTGCTTATCAAATAAAGTATAAACCATTTGTTTTTACTTTTGTTTAGGAACTGTCTGTCGACATTATTACAACAGAATAAACACACTAACAATATGATAGAGAGTGTTCAACATAATATTTGATAAAATACAGAGCAAAGACCTATGTTAGATAGTTTAAAAAATGTTATATCAACATATGATATAAGAGTTATATTTAAAAATAAATGAACAATAAGTTGGACTTCTTGCATCTTAAGGCTTGAAAGCATAATATTCAACAGGATTTTCATAGAAAACGTGCATCAAGATTAATTAACTGAATATACCTAAAATAAAGGCACTTTCAGTTTGTCAGAATATCAATAAAATTACAAACTTAATGAACTTTTCAAAACAAGAAAAATTTAATCTCTTTCTAACAGTACAATGTTAGCTAATTTAGTTGGTCATCCAACAAGTGTTCAGACTCAAAACAGTACCAGCAGTCTCTAACTAATTGTTCTATGAAAAACTTTCTAATGAGCTGTTTCAACCCATAATACATAATTATGTAAATACACATACCCCTACAATAGACAGTAAAGAAGTAGGTTAATACTATTTTGAAATACAGTGACATAACACAAATTGCGTTTTTAGATTCACTAGCATGGTGTAGGGACCAATTTCATCAACTTGCAAAGCATGTATGCCCTGGGCATTGAGCCCATTGACATCTAAAGTAAGACATGCACGAGGCTTGCAGACATTATAAATACGGAGGGGAGACTCTACTATACTGACCATATATTTTTACAGCCCTATATTCTGCCAGAATATTCTTGAGTGATGTCATAAATATCCTGTCATATTCGTTTCTTAAAGCATCCAAGTAAGGACTAGCTTGTAAAAACTCATCATACGCAGTCATAAGCTGCTCCTCAGCAAGATATCCTACAACAGAACAAAGAAATCAAACATAAGTTATCCCGTCCGTTAATTGGGGATCGCTATATTCCCGCCAAATACTCGACATACCAAGGACTAGTTTCGCCAAATCTTGTGAAGGAAACGGTGGTAACGACATTATTCTTCAATATATGTACACTTCACGATTTATTTACATAGATGCAACAAGAAAAACAACACAAACTACAAAATATAATAAAATAAACAGTCCACCACTTGCACTATAATCCTGCACATACACAAAAGTCACAAAAAACACAGTAGTAACACGAAACACATAGACAATTAGACAGTTACGTTGAAAATGAACACAGATAATTAATACTCAAGTTAGATCAAACATTTTCATTTTATATGGAAACAAGACTTCTCTTAGTTCATGTTTATTTATTTAATTACGAAAAATGGAAAAATTACATTAAGTATTATCTTTTCAACCGTCCATCGTCCACTTCTGCTGACGCTGTCTGTTGAAACTCCCTTTTTATCATGAAGCATGACGAGTTTGGACTTGATTTGGCTAACACTGTTATTATACAGATTTATATGCATTACAGTCTTCTTAAACAAAAATTTTTTAGATTAATATCATGTATATTTACATTACACTGAATCGTTTCTAACTAGTCGATTTAAATTATCGACTACTGTAACGTTTTGACAGTTAATTGACAGTGTCATTAAAAATGTAACGCCAATTCGCCATTTTTGTACTACTGGAAGCCATTTTTCAATATCAGTTGTTAAAATTTACGCGTTTGTAATTTTGTACTATATTTGTGAACTTAATTTTGTTATTTTTTTACTTAAAAACAGTGTATCTCGATTTTAATAACCATGAGTAACACGGCATCAACACCGCTCTTCGCTTGTTCGCGTTGTTTTTCAAGACACCCTTTCGAGGAATTATCAACTGGTGAACAACTTTGTAAGGTATGTACGTCACATACATTGAATATTACACCCGATATTGATCGGTTGATTATTTACTATGTTTATAGTTGAGTCTGATGGGAACGGGGTTTGCGCGGGTGCGTCACAATTTACTGTTATTTTGACGTCAGTAAGTGACGCGTTTGTTGTCTGATATTTCAGGAATGTCGCGGATCTTTCCCAGTCGTCAAGTGCACGTACTGCCGTTCTGAGTTTCAACAGACAAGGTCAGTGTCGGCTGCCAGGGCATGTGCTTAAGAATTGCGTTGTAAGATTTAGAAATCTGAAACAAAAGGTTTCATCATGCGTCGTCACTTTCACTCTGAAACTTGTTACACTTCACACGTTTGTAATGATTTGCACACTTTTGTATCAGCTGACGCATTTGTATCAACTCTTTTAGTTATCAAACACTATAAATAAGTTTCAAATTGACATAATAAGAACAAACGTTCCTACTCACTATTCATGTAAACACAAAAATATTTTCATTGATGACACTTGTTGGACTTTTGTGTAAAATATTCACACAGTGTACTTTCTTATAGCAAATCAAATACATCTTCAATTTGTAAGAAGTGTGAAGCCAACGTGAAAGCTTACGGGAAGCCTACAGCCTGTGAATATTGCAACATCATCGCTGCATTTATTGGTAAGCATGAGAAAATTCTACTACAGGGAAAAACTTACTATAATTGTTTTACTTTTAGGTATATTTCTGTGTGACAAACAAAATAAAACAGTAATAAGGCATAGCCAACTTGATTTATTACAATCCTAAAATGTTAAACAACTGTATAATTTAAAATTCTTCAGTCCTAATTCATTTTTGTTTCCGTTTGTGCATAACAATCGATTAACAAAATTTTATCCATTGTATTCTACAATACTACCTATGTAGTTGTAATCTCTTTATTACAATAATTATGAACAATAAGTTTATTAGGCATTTCACCAAAACTACTACCTAATTTATACAAAAATTCTGAGGGATGACTTTATTTGTAGGTTTCATATACTAGTATATATTGCAGAATATGTTTTGATTACAGTTTGAAAACTATGTACTCACACTTCATTAAAAATTAGGTAACAAATGCCAACGGTGTGCTAACTCTGAGCGCAAGTACGGGCCAGCGGTCACCTGTGAGCAGTGCAAACAACGCTGCGCTTTTGACCGCCATGATGACAGTAAAAAGGTACATTAATTTAATAAACTAGACTGTTATATGTATTTATTCTATTCAGGTTTATGTAGATGACCAAAACATACTTAGAATATTTAACATACATGAGCGAAGTATCAGCTGATTTATCAGTTTTAATTTTTCTGCACATGCGCCCCAGATCAAAGGCACCTACGAACCAATGTTTTGTGGATGTATCTAATACCTTTAAACAAGCCATTCTTATAACGATAACAACAACAAAGGAAATGGCGCCATCGATTTTCTTGAAATTTTGTATTCAGAGGGATTCAGAGGCAATAAATAGACAGAAGATATTATGTCCGTGTATAACAAAAATCCGTATTAGAATTATTTGTAAAGTTAAAATAATTCAGTACAGAGTATATTTATCGGTTTAAAGGAAGATTCTGAGTCATTAGATAGAGTAAAAAAACAAAAAATAATAATTTTGTTGCTGATTCCACAGAATTAAAAAAAAACAAATATAAAATAACACCTTTTAATCCACAATGTTTCATAATATACCAAGAAAAATCTAATCAAAATCTCATTTATCGGTTGAGGAGGCAATCTTAATATCACAAACAGATTATTATCAACACTCAACACCGCAGTCAATATAAAAAACCAAATATAAATAAATATTTACCCATTTATCCCCAAGCAATCACCGGTGACTGCTCTCTACTAACTACATTAAAGACCTTATTTCCAATGTTTAGAAACTACTTTTGTATGAACAAATTTAGGGGATTTAAATTTTATAAAGTTAATAGGTAATACCTACATAATGTTCAGTGTGTTTACAGCACAGATTTTCCTTATTTAAAATAGAAATTATTGTACATTACTGTGTTTGAAGTTGTAATTCTTAGTATTTATAAAGTTGTACGGATACAGCACTCAACTAATAATGGCTCTTTGTGACTAACGCCCGCGACCTCCTGCAATTATGTAATAAGTGCTTAGTACCTAGTTAGCTAGCATTGACTTGACTAACTAGTTAATTTTATAAATGTTTACGATAACTACTTTACAATGGGACAAAGGTCCCAGTTCTTTCACAGTAAACATAGATACCTATTTTGTTTGTATATGAAGTTAAGATTATGTTTATTACAACTGTTGTTTCTATGTTATACTAATATTATAAAGAAGAAAGATTTGTACCTATTTTTGTATGTTTGTAATGAATAGCCTCAAAAAGTACTGGGCCGATTTAAAAAATTCTTTCACCAATAGAATGCTACATTCTTCCAATTTGACATAGGCTACATTTCATTTTGAAAAAAATTAGGGATCCTTAGTAAAATTTAAACAATGTAACCGAAGGTGTAGAAAAATGAGTCTTAAAATGTCTTTCGTCGAATGCGCTGCCGAAACTATTAGCAATAGAACAAAATAATGTACAACAATATTGAAGAACATCATAATGTCTACAAAAAACTCCGCGGTAGCATATGTCCAACTATTGTAAGTAGTTATGTCACTACAACAATCCAAATTTCCAAAAATAAATAATTGTCTAACCCGTGCGAAGCCGGGACGGGCTGCTAGTGTTATATAAATGTAGGCTCCAGTTTTGTTGATTTTCGTTTATATTCCAAATTAGTAAGATTAAATTTAAGAATAGGCCTTCATAGTTTAGTTAATACTATAGTTAGTTTCCTAAAAATGTTTTTACCTAACCCTGTCGCCAATAAACTATTACTTAGAAACTAAATGATTGTTATACATCATTCACGATTTTACGACACCAAATTCACGTTTAATTAAATAGATTTTACACACTTGAGTGGGTGTGACTTTTGTGTGCACCTCTGCCTACCTCTTCGGGGATAAAAGGCGTGATGTTATGTTATATTATACACAAATCATAGCGCGCAGGTTAGTGACCTCTAGAGTAATACAGAATCACATATCCGTCTCTTTTTCAATAACAGCATTTAATTCGATCTATAATTGCATTCGACTTACTGAAAATGCACTGGAAATACTAAACATAAGTAGGTGCATAACTGACATTTTGCACCTGTTGATCGTAAAATATTGGCAACAATGCGGATAAAAAACTTCAGTTATGATTCATAGAATCACACAAAAATCGAAATAATAAAGTTGAAAAAAAAACCTGATTATGTACTATTGTGGAAGGCAATTGTTCTTTGTAGTACGGCTTAGTACATGATCTTGATTTACCGCCATACTGATCAACCTATTGAGAATAGAAAACATCTGTTCTGCTAACTGCTATTGCAAAGGGCGGTAACTAGTGCTTGACTTAAAAGTTAGGCATCGCCACTAAAAAAACCCTCAATAAAAAGTTAATTATTTAATTGTATGAAACTCACTCATACATTGTTGAAAACTTATACAATCTTGAGCCATAACTATAAAGCAATTGGGTAGTTTACTATTAGTTAGATAAAGAAAATATAATAGACATGTATTTTTTTATTTTCTCATATTAAGATGCAATACTTAGATAAAATGGCGCTAAGTGTAGGAGTGGGAGGTTGTTACGTCATAACGTGCTACAAAATGTAGCACGCTGTGACGTCACACGATATTTCACGATCATTATGTGGGAAAAAAATACGTGTCTACAGTTTTAAATTAGTGTACCAGACGGACGTTAAAATAAAATTTAGGAATCTACCCTATTTGATAAGTAGGTATAATATTGTCAATACATAGTATAAAACAAAGTCGCTTTCGCTGTATGTCCGTATGTATGCTTAGATCTTTAAAACTACGCAACGGATTTTGATGCGGTTTTTTTTAATAGATAAAGTGATTGTTAAGGAAGGTTTATATCATGCATATTGCACCCGTGCGAAGCCGGGGCGGGTCGCTAGTTAATAATAAAATGATTAAATATTGTGGTACCTACAATGGTCTAAAATTTTAAAGGACAAGGATCTGTTCAATAGTTGTTTGTTTCCAAGAAACAAAGAAATAAGCTAGCCACGAGGCGTCACTACTAAAATTAAACTATACTCTGCAAACACTATTTCAATACATAACACCCCTGACAAATTACTGATCATTGTTCCAGGTTGACGGAAAGCTCTTATGTTGGCTGTGCACTCAGTCTCTCAAACGAGCACTGGCTAGAACCAAGCAGCATATGTCATCTGTGGACAAACATAAGCATAGGGGACACAAGTAAGTTATCAAGTATCTACACAAGAAAAAATACAAATAAAGTCGAAGAAATGCTACAACGCATTAATCTTTAATTTGGTACCTGCATGATCAATCTATTTCAATCATTTTGTGTTTAGTACCTACTTAGATAAAAAATAATAAAAGGACTATATTGCACTATACATAGTTAGAAGCCTTGTCTTCCCAGATATGCAGTATACGAAATCAAAATAAAATGTAATATTTTATATAGAAAAATTATTTTTTAAAATATTGTTTTTAAAATTCAATAAATTTAATTTATATTTTAAGCTATTATTAACATTCTAAAGTATTGTATAAATCTTAGGTCCAGGAGTGGACACAAGGAGAAGCGCAAGTCAGACATGATGAAGTCGATGAACTCTAATGATTCCTCACTGAATGACTCGCAGCCATCCGAGAAGAAATCTAAGATGAACCCATTGCAAGGTAAGCATCATTATGCATCTATTCTACACCATTCATCCACCACAAAACTTTACTATTGAAATTCCCTCAAAAATGTAACAGAAAAATGTACTTAACCCGTTGAAAACCATCCCCTAAATTTGTTCATACAAAAGTAAAGTAGTCTCTAAACATTGGAAATAAAGTCTATAATGTAGTTAGTGGAGAGTGGTCACCGGTGACCGCTTGGGGATATGTGGGTTAATATCTTATCTATCTTACCCAAAATTTGTTTATACAAAAATAGTCTCTAAACATTGGAAATAAGTTCTACAATGGAGAGTGGTCACCGGTGACTATGTGGGGATTGAGCAATCACCAGTTTTGTTATTATTCCTGTTATAGAGGAGGCCAGTGTAATCAGAAATGCCTATCATAAAGTCTTTATTTAATTATAGACTCCATGCTATTTACTACCCACTGATAATTTCAAAATCGAAAATCCTGGTAGTATTTTGCCCAACTTAGGATTAAAACTGCTCTGCAGTAATGCTGGCGGTAGCTTGCGAGTCAGTTTTTGTAATAGATTAACTTTAAGACAATTTTTTTTTTAGTTTCTATCTTACCATCTCGCTTACTGTCGTGTGTCTCTCTCCTTATTGTTTCAACTTCAAATTAATTTATTAATTGGGTACTTGCCAACTAGTCAAATTTTATTTATTTATTTATTTAAAACCTTACCTAAAACTATCATTACAGTTTTCTCCATTGCGATAGCTTAGAATTAAATTAATTTAAATTTAAACTTTTTACTGAAACTGATGAATTTTGTACGAGGTTGTGTGAATACAGACACTACATAACGTGACGTCATAATAGACATTACGTTATTTAGCATCAAATATATGCTATTTATTACTTATTTCTTAAAAATTGGCTGATAAAATGCTAAAATGAAGTAGATCATAAAATCAATTAATAAAAGTTATTATTTTTTTAATATTCCTACGTAAGTACCCAATTGTAAACATAGCTAACATTAGGGTCTTAAACAACGCTATGTTAGCTTTTCTCAGCATACAAAATTATAAAATAGTTTAGTTTAAGCTGCTTCCTTTCTCTCACGCTTGCGTATTTACTGGGTCTTCATAACAGTGTTTCATTAAATTACCTATGTTTGTAGTGTGTTACAAGCTACCAAAACTAGTTTGGAACTCATAGTGGTTTATTATGCTTTTGTAAAATATAGCGTTTTACAAACAACTACAGTTACATAAACGCTCTATTGTGTTCTTCTTTTATTTACTCACGAAACTGCTTTCAAAATTCATTATCTTTGTCATTTCTGTCAATGAAATGAGAAAGACAAAGTAGATTAGAACGAAATTATATTTTTAAATAATTGGCGATGATTCGAAGTTTTTTTGTGGATACGGCGGCAGCGTGAAGGTCGGCCCCAAACCACTCGGTAATTTCTCAACACGAAGACACAGACATGAAAAGAAATTCCAAAAAATCACACTGCGACCCTGGGATATGCAGCAAAATTGTTCAATGTTTTTCCACAGGTTGTAAATATGGACATACTAATAATCAGCTTTTTGTTTTCTTGTTTTTTTTTTCGTTCTTAGTTATATTTCGCTCCATAGGTGAACTGGACCCCAACAGTTCTGACCATGTGGTAGCAATGACACAGCTGAAGGAGACCATTGCCAGTCTACAGAAGAAAGTACAACAGAAGGACAATGAGTTACTTGCCAAAGATAAATTGGTGAGTTCATTCAATAATACAGCTCTGATTTATTCTGCAAAGACTTGTCTTGTTCGAAGAACAGAAGAATATTTATAAAAGAAAAAAGTGTTTCTTAGGTCTTCTTAAATTTTTCAACATATTATAAAACATGTTTCTTTGCTTTCAGATCACGGAACTTAAAGCTCAGCACCTAAACAACACACAGGACCTACGGAACGAGATGAAGAACAAGGAGCGACTGAACGAGACGAAGTTTAACCTAATGAACACTAAAATACAGAACTTGCTAAAAGAAGTCGCGACACTAAGCAAGTCCGCTAAAAAAAACAATAAGAACACCAAGATTGCGCTAGCCAATACAGAAAATAGTGGCAGTGGAACAGACAGCCCGAGCACCAACTAGAACAATTTTCAACCCTAACCCCTTCATTTCTAGGTATATTATTACTCGACAAAAACAATGGAAATAACTTTCCTCTTATTTTTTTACTCTACAAATGGTTTTATTTGTAGAATTTTTATAATCATAAGCGTAAGTAGGTTTCAATTTAACGACATGATAGTTTTTAATTTATTATGCAAACTTGAGTTTTTACTGTTTTATCTGAAGTACATTAATTAATATATCCTGTAGCGTCATTGTTACGTGTATAAACTGATGCGGGTTTAAAAGGTATTAAGTCTATGACTACTCAGTTGACAAAGAGGTATGACGATAATTTGGAGATTATTTTTGTATAATTTTTCATTTCTCTTCAGTATCAGTGCATCTAAACTGAACAGTTTAAATATAAACCTTTATTATTGAACTACATAGGATAGATAGTGCACAACAATCTAACGTGTAGGTTATTCTTATGTTTCCTAGGATTGTAATAGTCTAAATTTATAAATCTGTATCATATCGCATTTTTTTTATTTTTGTATCAATTCTCTTGTTATTATTTTTTAAGTAGTTGTACAGTCTTGTGACAATGAAAGTAGTGTATACCTAATAGGTAGATCAGTTTGTATTCACGAATACGTTTTTAAATAAAGAACTACGGTATCGGAGTAAGTGTTCGATGTAAAATAAATTATGAAAATAAAAAAAAAGAAATGTGTGTCGAATTAAATTATTATGAATTATGTTAGTCCGATAGAAAAGAGGTTTTATGTAAGTGAGATATTCTGTAATGCTGTTAGATGTTAGCTATTTTAATTGTACACGAATGTTCGCCTCTTTTTGTTGGTGCGTTCACATTTTTGTGGTAATGTTGGCACACCGTGTTGCAATGTGCACGCACCATACTGTGATCAAATCCCGGACTGGATAAAGTCTGTCATATCAGTGTTAACAATAATTTTAATTTATGATGCAACGTTTGATTCGAATTGGTTTGTATGTGTGAGATATAGGTTAACGATATTAATACGACACACTAATAAAATATTAAATAAGACTCAGTGTTACTTTTGTAAAATTGGAATTAAACGGCAATACAATAATTTAATAAAAAGAAACTGAATCAAGCGAGACCATCGCGATAGTTACTTAATATCTTGTTGTAGCTAAAAATGAAAATGGATGTTTAAAAAAAGACCTTATTTTGTTAAGAGTACAATTGATTTTTGGCTATGATCCTTGAGCTAAGGCGAGATGGATATTGTACGATCACAATTTTATAACATAGCCTGTAAGATTGTTTTGTGATTATTATCTAATCAAACTTAATGTTTTACCACGTGACGCACACTTGACTATGAAACGTGTAAAAAATATTGTTAAGTCAATGTTTGTAAATCAAAAGATATTTTGATTCAATGAGAGTTGGTTTGGTATCTTTTGAGGTGGAGTGCAGTTTTAAGTTGAAACTTGGATCTAGATAAATAAATGATTCCATAAAATCATGCTGAACATCAGTTTCCTCCAATGACTACCAGGTCGACCGATCAAACGAAGATTATTTTAATTGAATGTGGTAGAAAGATATACATGACTTAAAACTACCTCAGCGCCATCTAGGGAAAACGACAACTGTAATTGGCAAAAGTTATGCTATACATAAGTGAGTTCTATCTTAGTACCTATCTTTTGATGTTATAAGTTGATGTTCTGTCGTAGTACCTATCTTTTGATGTTATGAGTTATCTAACCTACGTTATAGTTAAGCAGCCACAGATTATACGTTATACGTTAATTTTCTTTGATTACTAGTATATAAAGCTGCTTGGCTAAAACGTGTTATCTAAGTTGTTACAATAAATGTCATCTAAAACTGTAAAAATGTGAAATAATTCTGAAGGGAAATATTTCAAATTACTGTAAACAATGTGTATAAAGGTGCTCCCTCACAGGGAGCATTCACGTGTAATGTAACATTATAGATTCGACTTGAGCATTACATTACAATAATACCTCCCTGACTAACGAGCATTTGCGTGTATTGTAACATATTGATTCGACTTTGAGCCTTTCATAGCAAGATGTCAGACATTGATGTGAAAGTTGTATCAAGATATTACACATTGTATCATTACAAGGTGCGCATTGTAATGCTCGATTCTCCTCCTTTACTGATGTAATGCTCAGATCTGAAACGTAACATTACACGCAAATGCTCCCGGTGAGGGAGCTTCTTAGGTGTGCAGACATTTTTGTGATTGTGTACGAATATTTAAAGTTCTATTGTAAAATAAAATCGATTACTATCAACATCGGTAATGTCCGTATTGTAAGTGATCACGTGTGTCTAAATGTTAAGGATAAATATAAAACTAGTTAACAAAATCTTAAAAATATATAACGAAAACAAACTTGTCGATGCTGTGGAACAAATATTCCAATAGAGTTATGACCTGAAAAATAACTATACTTGTTAGTGAAAATGAACGAAATAAAGTGTAAAATGAAATATTTTTCTTTTATTTGATTCTCCTTTTTGTGTGAATTTACTACGGTTGCGATTTCCAATACCGTATTTTTGGTATTTATTTTAGTGGAAAGGAAAAATATGATAACGAAATGAGCGAAACACGTCTCATAATAGGTATATACAAAACAAAGATGTCATTTACTCGAGTGAATGACACGTTTTGCTCGTAAAATGTAACGCTCTGTCCGTCTTCATCCGCTGTCATTCTTTTTATCAGTTATTTTTTACACTTCCTCGAAAACAACTAAGATTGAGGAACAAACATGATAAAATATAGGGCTGGCAAGGTGAATTTATGAAATCCGCCATAACTTATTGTTATAGCTAAACTTAACATATAACATCACGCCTTTTATACCCGAAAGGGTAGGCAGAGTTGCACACAAAAGTAACAACCACTTTTCACTATTTATGTTATGAGTCCCATGTGATAGGGCGTGAGCCTATTGCCATATACCGGGCACAATTCCAGACTCTGTGCCTACTGACATTTTAAATCCTAGTAATACTTAGTCCGACCCGGGAATCGAACCCGAGACCCCTTGCCCGGCAGTAAGGCGGCAACGCAAATAGTGATCACCACTAGGTGGACACCCGCAACACCGGAGGAGTTCACAAGCTCACTTGTAAACTCAGCTTATTTTTTAAGGGGTACTCCCTCCCGCTTGGGTGAGGTGGTAGGGAGTGTAAACTAAGCTAGGTCGGCAAGGACGTAGGAGAATTGGGTGGGTATCCTTCTGGGCTTCTGTTAACCTTACACGGCGAAACATAACGCAAACGTTGTTTCCCGCCGATTTAAAAATTTGGGATCAATCCAGTCGAAGCTGCCTTATTTATGCCAAAGTCCCGCTGATTTTCTCCTGTGTCGTGGATGCGTTTATTGGACGAACAACTTAATATTGACACACCCGAATCCGGAACAACAATTTCTAGATCACACACAGAGTTGGTTCGTCTGCTGAATACCCAGCCACTGCTCCAACCGTGAAGTCTAGTAGTGTTTCCCCTGTTTCATTGTGTCGTTTCATGGGTTTACCTTCAATAGTTACTTTAGTAGGTACCTATAAATGTATCTGCTTACGTCACAAAAGTTCTATGATTAATTAAACAACTCGTTTCACATCCAAGTAGGAAATTTAATTATTTATCAAAAAACGGTTGAAGTATGAAGACTATGATGTGTATTTGAATAGTAATTGTTTTAAACAAGGAAATTAATGCAATACACATATTTAATACATCGTTTTTGGTTTTTACAATATGTAGCTATTATATTCCGGGTATTGTTTCAAGTTAGTAGACTCGTCATCATTGCATTATCAGGTAATGACTAAGGACATCGGTCTTGCTTGGAAAGTTGCAACTGGGCTAGTCAAATACTTGGCACCTACCTATAACAATTAAACTTACGTGCGTGCGTAAAAACTGCGGTTTTCCGCGGTAAGGATGTCGTGTCCTAATTAATTGGATGAAGACAAGAGATTGGGTGGGAAAATTAGACTACAAGGACTAGAGATATCGGATGTGTTACGTTTTTTCTTTTCAGGAATCTTTTGCGGGTTCCTGATCTTGAGGGGTTTTAATTTAGGTGTGTAAGTTATTTTTTATATCATTAAAATACGTTGTCCGGGTTGTCCCACACTAAGAGTTTATCTTGTGTCTTAGTTGCGTTTATAAACTTAAAATTTTATAGATGCGTGCGGTAATCGAACCTGCTACACGTTGTGCGGCAGCCAGTTGCCCAACCTCCGCGCCAACCGTGCATTCAAAGAGAATCCCGTTAGATATATCGGTTAACTTTTCTTAATATTTTAATTATAGGCTAGTTCTAAGCCTCTCTAGACTCGAAGTGCAGCAGTAGGAACGGGGTGGTATTAACGGGGTGAGATTATAAAATTTTGGAACCCATGGCTACCAATGTTAAGTAGATTAGAAAAAATACCTAATTGATGATTCTCTCTCAATAAATTAATTTAGTTATATCATTAATTAAGGTAGTGTAATTAAAACTAAAAGGGTACGATGGAGTTGGCATATCCATGTGGATAAAACCCCAAAATAAATAAATAGAAATAAAAAAAAATGGCTACCAATGAATGCTGAAATTTCGTTCAGCATTAAGTGGTAGCCATTTTTTTTAGCTAAGTATAGTTATGGAAACGATTCATACGATAAAGTAAATGTATTTAAGTCTAATTGTATCTAAACTCAACAAGAGAATCAATTAGGTACAAGAATGCAAACGGCTACTTAAGATACGGAATCGAACAATGATGATTTCCACTAGAACAAAAAAAAACCGTGTTTCTTACACAAACTCAGTAATATTCCAAATACTTCCGATAAATACTTGAATTTTATTTTGTCGCAATGTATTGGCTAAAGTATGCAGCAGAATATTTTAATTATGGCAGCCCTAATAAATTAAAATAAGTAGGTATCAACATACCTAGAGGTACATTCGTGCAACGCATAGATTTTTAGGGTTACGTAGGTAGGGACGTTGGAAAGTCGTGCTGGGACCTGCCGCAATATAGTGGTAGGTCGAGGCCTGCCGGGTGCGGTGATTCCGCAAGGGCGTCCCGAGTCTCGGCCACAGGCAAAGGAGGAACACCGCAGTGGTTTTAACCCACGACGTGGAAATTCCACGACAATTTCCATCGCGTTATAAAAAGAGGTACCTACGTTGGAAAGTAAGTAAGACAGGTAAAATAGTGTTGAAATCAAAAAGTGATCAATAGGGGGAGCACTATCATCTTTAATCATTTTAAATGCTATAAAAATCATCAAGTTCTTCCGTATTTAGGCACCCATTAGCTAGATATTTAACAAAAACATCCTTTTAAGAGTATTTAGTAACTGTAGTCTACATTTATTTATATACGTAGATACTATGCTGAATTTCAGAGAGAGACTCATTATAATGTCATGGGCAATTACTTTCAAACATTTTCATGTTAAATTAACTACGTTTTACAGGTAATTTAGGTACACGGGAAGTGTTACAGAAAAGTATTGTTCGATTGTCCTCTTACGATTTTTTACTCCAACCGCAATAAATCAAATTGTGACGATAGATTGATTGAATGCAAAACAGTTGTAGATATTATGTCTCAATGCTTTGGCACTTAGAGGACGCCTTCTGAGAATTTATTAATTAGCTTAATATCTTCCTAGTTAACTAAGGTGCTGAGATAATTAGTGATGAATCTATTAAATGTTTGATGCAAAAAATACCAACGACCATAGAATAAAATAAATTGATAGCGACACTAGTATCTAAAATAAAAGATGAAAGTACTCAATATTTTTTTGTTTATTCAGCACACTTCGAATTTGAACTTAATTCAATCAGACCTTTTGTATATTTCAAGTCATTTACTTAACCCCATTCCCTCTATTCCACCGTACAAAACTGAACTATTGACTTCAAACTCTCGACCTCCATAAATGAAGAGCGGTCAGTAAATTTTTCTTTATTTTCTATACGGAACCACAGCTTAGCTGTAGTGTTAAGTGTTTGATCATCGTTTTGTACCACATAGCTCTGGTATATAACACAAGTAACGTTGTTTTACAATCAAATCGCACTTTTGAATTAGTCAGTCTACGAGTGGCAGTGCTAAGGCGCAACGGTTCCAATTTGAACAATGGAATCGAAAATTCTTTTTATTTTAAGTTTGACTTTAGTCGCCGTCGCCCAATGCAAATGTTAGTTCATTCATGTTGTCAATTTCGTTATTTTTTTAATTATGAATTAAATCATATTTTTTTAATGGTGATTGTGATGTTCGTCCTAATAAATTGGAAGTTCGTTTCAGTGGTAAGGTTGTCGTGTAAACACATACGTACTCTAGTGGATGGCCACAATTCCCGACGTCTCCAAATAGCCAAAGGGTCGATTCTAAATCAACCCGCTGCTGCTGAAATGAAAATGATGGTCAGTATCTTTTTAAGCTTTCTTTTTAATCAATGATTAGTATAAAACCGTTTAAAAACCGAATGCTTTTATAAGTCTTCAACGCTTCTTTCCAAATTAATAACACTAAATCAGAAATAGCAATATTTATGCATATGCACGATGCCTACTTTTGGTGGTAGACAGGTGTTAATAATGTTTTTTTTTCTCCTTTATCGTTTGGTTTATAATGTAGTACCGTTGTTCACTTTTCACTAGTTATATTATGAATCCCATTTATTTAAATAAAACGTTGCGCGCGCTAGTGTAGTATTTTCTTCTATGTCTTGTGCGTTTACAAATATACAATTTCACATACACATGACACCCAGACCAGGGCCATCTCAGACTACGCTGGAGTCCCTGGGTACACAATAATTCGGGGCCCATGTGGAATATTTGGAATCTTTCTTGTGGAATCTTATTAAATAAATAACATAGGAAACATTCATACTGAGTATTTTACATAGTTCCTTGTTTCCAGTTATGGGATGAAGAGTTGGCCAAAAAAGCGGAGAAATGGGCATTAAAAGACCATAATTACCACAATCCGGACAAGACCTTACGTAAGTACCTAGATATCACTACATAGCATAAAACAAAGTCGCTATCCGCCTTCTGTCTGTCTTTATGTATGCTTAGATCTTTACAACTACGCAACGGATTTTGATGCGGTTTTTTTTTAATAGATAGAGTGATTCTTAAGGAATAATTCTTAATTCGTTTATGTATATAATACATGCATATTGCACCCGTGCGAAGCCGGGGCGGGTCGCTAGTTATTGTATGAACTGGATATATTCCTTCTTCAATGATATATCCAGATTTTTAAGGGAGAAAATTTGTTCATTTCCCTGGGACGCACTACATCGAGCTTCATTGAAGTTTTTTTGGCACCTTGCTACTCTAGATCCTAATTTACATGAGTTGCAGTGGTTGAAAAGTAGAGGCAAAATATATGCAATTTATCTTTATATCAACTTTAATGCCTACATTGTAAGTACGAATAAACATAGATATCTAAAAGCTAGACTATCTATGTATATAACACACAATTTTCGCCAGTATTATTGTTTTGTCAATGCGGGCTGAATGTCAGGACGAATGAAATCTATCAATGATAATCAATATCACGGGCAACGGTACTCTCGTGTTTAATAGGTACCCAGCACTGTTGTTTGAGTGAAATGGGGAAAATGGGGTGATTTTAAAGGTCAGCTAGTCCCCTTCGTCTTCCCAACATGAAGTGGCTCCATGAGGATTTACCTTCCAACTTGTCAAATAATAACGAAGTACCTAGGTACTTCCTGTAGTTCCATGTAATGTATTAATTTCGGAGTCGCGGAGAACCTAACGGGTTACCGGGGCTCCGGCTCGACGTGCAGGAGAAGGAACGGGGTGGTTTTTAGTCAATAAGAGTCCGACACTCCCTCTCGCCTCACCCAGGCGGGAGCAGTCATTCGATGATTTTCCCCGCTTAAAAAAAATGCACCTTAAATAGGTACCGTAAAACCTACCTGTAAATAATGTACGTACTAAAACATAATTAAAAAAATATGTTAACAGCGTTATTCTTATTTAATTAAAAGAAATAACGTCCGACTTAAAAATAAATGAATCGATTTACTTATGAAAGTGATTTGATACCGTTAAGTGAAATGTATGTCAAACAAAATGCTTGTCAATTTGACTGTGTTAGGTACGTATTCTTCAAACTTAAAAAAACTTCGACACAATGAAATCTTAAAGGAGGCAATGGGGTTACCATGCTAGGAGTTAAAAGTTAAGAACGATTCATTTTTTTTTTTTTTGTGGAGCTAGTATTTGCCCAATCACGCTACGAATAGCTTGATGCTCAATTATTGAGTTTAGGATCCTATTAATTTGTATGACAACCAGAGTAATTGTGCTCAGTCAGTGGCTACTTCAGGAAATTAATTATGAGAAAAGTTACTGAAGGTTGTCTACCTCAGGTCAATCTCTGAATTTCTTTGTTTCTGATTTGGTAGCGATGTTGATTAGAAGATCGGTCTTTAAATTTGTCTCTTCTATCTTCCCTGTGATCTTGAGCTTCTCTAATCTATCAGTCTTTTGTTTGCCATAAGTCTAAAGTAGGAGAGTATCCTTCAGAGGCAGATTGTAGATAGTCTCTTCGTGGTGATACGAAGTTGTTTGAGAATGGAAAATTGAATATACCTAATTATTAATACACTTCACAATCAAGAATAAGTATCTGTTTGGAACATTTTTCACAAACACCATTATCCTATAAGCATAATTTTTGTTCAAAATGTATTTTGGTTTCATTTTATTCATTCTGATAATGTGACACGTAACAACGTCACATTATCAGAATAAAAACGTAAACTATTGTAAAGTAACTGCATGGTATTATAATGATAATTCTTTTGTAATTAAGTAGGTAGGCAAGTTCGAAACGTAACTAGAAACTTACTTATTTACAAGATTATTAAGTTTTTGTAAGTAATATGACGCTTTAACCAACATCAATACCATCTTATGTGGAGTTTATTAGCCTATTAGCCTACCTCAAAATTTTTAATAGACTGTTTTCCTTGTATTTTCTACTCAAAGTGCTTCTTCTTTGTTTGGAATTTGAAAAACAATAAACAACCGCGAAGTAAAATACCAATTTGTACGTTTATTCAATTGGTCAATTGATGGGCAAGTCACGTACAAAAAGTTATTATGAACCTGTGTCCTATGTCCATACTTGGAAGTTTATTATAGCTATTTTCTTTGTTTTACAATAATATTTCTTTTTGTTTGAGAAATACCTATGCCTAATTGTCTAATATAGTTTTAGTTTAACAATGAAAGGATGCCAATGATGCCATAATAGTAGCTCTAATTTTTGTTATTGTAACTTGGTATCTATTAGATATTATTCGTGTTTACTTTTCTATTCCGGTCGGCCTCTTCTAGAAAATATGTATAGATAAATGTGTGGGAGAGCCATGCTTCGGTACGAATGGGCTTGTCCGACCGGAGTGACGGCTTCACAGAAAACGGACTTGAAACAATGCAATTGCGTTGTGTTTCGTCGTATGAACGAGGTTACCGGAAGCCCAATTACCCCCCTCCCTAATCTCCCCTATACCGAATCTCCAACATCCTGAATTCCTAATCCCCAAAAGGCCGGTAACGCACTTGTAATGCCTCTGGTGTTTCAGATACCCATGGGCGGCGCCGATTGCTTACCATCAGTGATCCGTCTGCTCGTTTACCGGCTAAACCCATAGAAAAAGAAAAAATTCTTAAAAATGTTGACATGTAAAAGTGCTGTTTGGTAGCCTATAATTACAAAATAAATTCCCTTTTTATTTCATTACATTATTCATATTGGGACTAGAATAACTAGATAGATATTCTAAGTTTCAGATATTTTTTAGGAAAAAAAACGACTAGCTAGGGTTTAGTTTCGCACTGGTCCTTTTTACCGAAGTTCCAGCCGTTCCAGGTGAATGTAACTATTTTTGTTTTAATAAAAACCTATTGTAGCAATGAAGAACACGAAAAAAAGGATTTATTCAATTTGGTCAAGTATTTCGGGAGTTGTGTGCGTACCTACATAAAAGTAAAGTAGTACCTAAGACTCCGTGATAAGTGGGTGTCAAGTTACTACATTTATGTACCTATTATTGTAGACAGAAACTACCATTTTATCATAGATTAAAAGATGTGTAATATTATGTTATTTTCAGCCTCTGGCAGATTTCTGACGGGTGAAAATTTGTATTGGTACTCAACAACCAATCACAAATACAACTTGGACCTTGAAAAGGGTCTGGCTTCCTGGTTTTCCGAACACGTCAACTTCACCTTTGGTCCTTTAACAAACGCCATGTTCGATCGGAACAGACCTCATGATATTGGACATTACACTCAGGTATCATGCATTATATACATACTTATGTTTAAAATTAGCATCCTTTTGTTTTCTTGTGCCTAGAATAGGGTAGATGCCTAATTTTTATTTTAATGTCCGTCTGGTAGATTATTTTAAATCATTCGACACGTATTTTTTATTTTCTTACAAAAACGAATACTTTCGACGATATATTGATTTGAAATGTCGCGGGAGCGCGGGACGTCACTTCGATGTACATTTATACGTAGAAATGACGTTTTAGCCGCCACCCCGAAACTTTGATTCGTTTCATCTAAGTAGGTACCTATCACAAATATGTGGTAGGTACCTATTGTTTTATTATACGACAAAATAAAAAAATACGTGTCTAATATTTTGTAATTACCTAACTGATGGACTAATTAGATTTTTAATTTTAATACTCTGTCATAATCCCAATTAGGTATAAGTAGGTACCCCCACCTAATAATAATAATCAGTTTTTTTTCAAACGCATCATTTTTTTGTGCATTTGGTGCAATGGTTAATTTTATTTCCATAGCATTTGAACAAGTTACATAAAACCCTTACGATACATGGGGACACCTGCTTGAATGCGAATAATTATGCAACATTTTGTCTGTGACTGTCGTGTGTCACCACCTTGAGCAAGTGTGGTGATTAATCCTCAAACTTCTCCATGCGAGAAGAGGCCTTTGCTCCGCAGTATACGGTGATGATGAGATAATAACACTGGTCTGCATAATTTCACTTTTTTTAATTCCTAGCTAAAACAATGCATTTGTTCATAGAATTATGCATATTGAGTTAAATCTTTAAAGAAATGAGTACGTCTATCATATATAGCTTGTACGTAGTCTGTTAACAAAGTTGAATAATTTGATCATTTTAACATATTTTATTGCTTTAGATAATAAAGTACTTATTCCATTTACTATATTTTTACAAATTAATCAATAAATTTCAAGTTTAGTTATCTTTATATAGCATTTTGAATTGATTCTTTAACATTGCGTCATAGCTGAGCTATATGGCAGTTCGTTTAGTACTGATTTTTCAAAACGATATAATTCCAGGAATTTGTCACAAAATCTAGACGTGTACTTTCTTCGAGTTTATTGTTTAAGCTGGGTAAATTTCATGTTGTATATTGTAATTAATTTCTATCTCGTACTTACTCCCTCATCATCATCATCAACAGCCTATAAATGCCCACTGCTGAGCAAAGCCTCTTCTCACACGGAGAAGGTTAGAGCGTTAATCACCACGCTTGCTCAATGCGGGTTGGCGATTTCAAACTTATAATTAGAAATTATAAGTCCAGGTTTCCTCGCGATGTTTTTCCTTCACCATTTGTCAGTGGTGTTTAAATAATCTTAGAAAGTACATATAACTCGGAAAAAGTCACATTGGTACTTGCCGTTGGTAGGTTTCGAACCCGCACCCTCATGCATAAGAAGTGAGCGTCTTAAACCTCCGGGCCACCACGACTCTTACTCCCTCAAGAATTATAATTATAAAAAATCTACCAAAATATGAATGGCAAATATCTTTTCCAGATGGTGTGGGCAGATAGCATTTACCTAGGTTGTGCCATGACACAAACGTTCAAAGACCAATGGAACAAATTCTACGTCGTGTGTAACTACGGGCCGACGTAAGTTGCATTACTGTATTGCGTGTAGAGGTAGTGTGCAGCCACACATTTTGTAGATGTAGATACTTGCGCTTAATGTTGGTACCTATATGCATATTAAAAACCGTAGACTGCCTAGTTGACTGAGTGGTCGCAAGTGCGACTGCTGGGCTAGGGGTCTCGGATTCGATTCCCGGGTCGGGTAAAGTATTACTGGGTTTTAAAAAAAATCTCAGTAGTAGCACGTATATGGTAATAGGCTCACCCCCTATTACACGGGACTCATAACATAAATAGTGAAAAGTGGATGTTCCATTGTACAGTGGCATAATGTACACCTCTGCCTACCCCTTCAGGGATAAAAGGCGTGATGTTATGTATGTAAAAACCGTACATTTTCTTCGATTTATCTTCTCCTCCAATAGTATCCTCTGATTTATTTTATTGCGGGATCCGAGATAGTTATTCAAGTCCCTGGGACTTCAGTGTTCCGGTGTTTTCCTGGTTATATCTACTATAGATCCATGCTTACAACTAGGTTATTCTGTTAGATGTCAAATCGAACAGGAGTTGCAGCGGTAGTGGGAGGCTGCGGGGCTTGTCCCATATTAATGAAATTCATTTTTATTTTTCTATAATAGGTACCTATTGGTGTTCGAACCACCAAAATTGAATGAGGTAACATAGAATAGATATTACTCTACCTATTGTATTAAAATTGTCTTACAAACATGTGTGCGTTTATCAATTTTACTTACAACAAATTTAAAAAAAAAACGATGTTTTTGGGGAACGTAATTTTAATGGGATTAGATGCTTGTGGTAGGTCTTTATATATATTTTTCGCAAATTTTGGTTATTTGGTTGGCTACCAATCGTGCATCTCATGAATAAAAACATTACCTAATACTAAGTATTTAGTTTTAGCAGTATAATTATGCTTTCAATTTCAGAGGGAATTATAAACGCGAAAAACCGTACCGAGTGAGTGGAGGCCCTAGTAAACAATTAATATGTGGCACTAAAGACTGTTCCAGACCCTATGGACCGAAGTGTAAAAAATAATTATAAAATACCAGTGGCATAACTATACTGCTCGGGGCCCGTGGCAAATGCACTGAATGAGCCCCTCTTCCCAATATAAAAAAAAATAGTTCAGATGAGAATCTCAGGACTGGGGCCCCTCCCGGCTCGGGGCCCGTGGCATTTTGGCGACTTGCCACCCTGTAGTTACGTCCCTGTCGACCACGAAAATTGAAATAAATATTTAATGCCAATGTATTTATTTAGAGTTTAAATGTAGGATAGGATGTTTAGACAAGTGCAAACTATTTAGAAATAGTTAACTCCTTTCTATAAAAAAAATAAGTAGGTGACAATTATTTAGGTACCACTAACTTATTTTATTACCTACCTATACTGAAGGCAAATGTTTTACAACAAAACCGCTTATCTAGACTTCCTAGCTTATGTTAAGTCTTATTTATATTTAACTGGAAGTCGAATAATTCGTAATAAGTCTTGTATTATACCTACAGTATAATACAATAATTGGTATTGGTAGCTGTAACTTTTTTTCGTAGACTATCTGTTTAAACCCTTAGTTTGTGGGTTCAATTAACGTTGACTGGTACAGAATGCCATATGGCATTGAGTTCGCCTTATGTAGGTACCTACCACTATTTTATTGTATTGTGGACATGAAAAGTGAAATTAAATAAATAAATAATTTAAGTAATGTTATATAGAATCGTGTTTATTTTCACCTTCTTTTTGCGTATCTGTATACGTATGTATCTGTATTGATATGAGTTTTCTGTGTAATCGACTTGCTTTACTATGCTGCCGTTATCGGCCCATTCAAACCATTTTCACAAACAGTACCTACTTAAGAACTTACCTACATAATGCTCAAATAGATACTAAATTAAAATATCTCTACTAAATTACCAAATCAATTGAACCAAATATTATATGGTGATTGATTGTAAAATTACCTGAAACATACAACATTGATTGCATAATTACATATGCCATAACTTCTTGGACACAGATCTAAATCCGATGTTCTTCAATAAAAAATCCTTAAGTTACCTGTTAAGTACCTACTCTTTAACCCTGAAAGTGTAGGCAGACAATGTTAAACTGAGCCGCGGAGGAGGTTAATGCCCTAGGTTTCGCGAACAATAAAGTTATATATTAAAGATTGCTAAGGCTAAAAAATTATGTTATTTTTTATGATGTTGTACAATCTCGCGGGGTGGTTTTTAATCAGTAAGAGTCTGGCGAGAGAAGTCATTGGATGATTTACCCTCTCAAAAAATAGAGAATATTATTCAATATATTAATAGGCATCGCACCTGTTACTCGGACTCCTCTGGTGTTGCTGGTGTCCATGGGCAGCACTGATCGCTTTGGTAAGCCAGACGATCTGTCGGCTCGTTTGCCTCCGATTCCATAAAAAAGTGGGTATCTAAGCTTTGTTTTTTATAAACAACATCCATTTACACGTTCAAAATCAAGTGACATTTTGTCGTGACAGAAATGACACTAATTGCCCCATCGCCGCATCATCAGCGTTGTCGATGTCACGCAAGTCGATGGGGAAAATTAACTGATATAGGTAGATAATTAACAAGAATTTCTTTAGTGGCAATGACATAAATGATGGTATCGATTTACAAAGAGTTATCAATTGCGATTGCGTTAACTTAATTAGGTAAATAACTGTTGTTTACTTATTTAACTAGACGTCATTGCGGTGATCCTGATGCAAAACTAGTAGGTCCTACCTATGGCATAGGGATTGACTCAAACACACAAGTCCTATGCGTTAGAATTAATGAAATTAAAAAAAAAATGTAAACGTGGGGCAATTGGTGTGTGTGTGATCAACAAACTGTTGTTCGGGGTTTGAGTGTCAACTGGAATGTTTGTAAACGCACCCAGGAAACAAGAGAAGATCCTAGTGTGGGGCAACGATAAAAAAGATTGTACAGGAAGGAACAGAACTAAATACTAAGTTGTTGCCTGTAGGCACCTAATAGAGACGATAGAGCGATAAATAATATCGATAAATATTTTAAATAAATAGATTTTTTACTACACCACAGATGGGACTTCTAATCTTACACATTCCAGAAAAAAAGGCTGAGACATTCTCACACTAGCCATGTAAACGAAACGACTAAGCACAAAAAAATAAACTTAGGAAAGTACTTCGATTGCTACACCATATTAATTTCTGTGTTCTCATTAAGTAGATTTTAATACGATTAATCAATAATTTATCATAATTTTCGGCTATCGTGAAACGAAGTCGGCGGCACGATATTTTGTTCTTGTGTCGTACAAAATTATCGCAAAATCCGTACTGCATAACTACCTAAGTACCTACTAATGATAGATAGTTAAAGTACATATGTACATACATGTGTACAAAGGATGTTTCTTAACTTATAAATACTGGACATGGGCAATAGGCTAGATGCCTAATTTTTATTTTAATGTCCGTCTGGTAGATTACTTTAAAACACTATACACATATTTTTTATTTTCTTACAAAAACATATAGTTTCGACGGTATATTGATTTGAAATGTCGCGTTACGTCACTTCTATGTACATTTTATACGTAGAAATGACGTTTTAGACCCCACTCCTAACCTTTAATTCGTTTTATCTAGGTACTATTTTAGTATACAACAAAATGAAAAAATAGATACGTGTCTAAATTTTTTCGTTGCCTAACTTACGGACTAAATAGATTTTTAATTTTCGTACCCCGTATTCATCCCAATTGGGCATGCTATGGATGTGGTCACGAATGAAAATCGTTACGGTAAAATGGGGTCAATAGGGTTTGAGCGGCGAAAAGGAACAGAAGAGGGGTGAATCGATACTATGAAAAATTTGCGGGTGGGCCCTTCTTTATTTATGACTGGAGGATACTTTCAAAATGCGTTACATTTTGGCCAAAAATACTAGGGAGCACTCTTAACTCACTAAAACCACCCTGGTATTACTATCACCCAGATGAGGGGCACATGCTACTCTAAATAGATCAGCTGTGAAGTGTGTGTGACACTGTGCAACGTCTTACAGCTCACACTAAAAAAGGGGAAAAGGGAATTTTACATAAGTAGGCCCTAAATATGCGCCGAGGAAGAATTAACGGGTTGCCGGGGCTCCGGCTCAAAGTGCAGGAGTAGAAACGGAGTGGTTTTTAGTCAGTAAGATACTCCCTCTCGCGTCACCCGGACGGAAGAAGCCATTGGATGATTTTACCCCATCAAAAAAATGCCCTATATATGCAGTTTCATACCCACTTTGGAAATCGATGTAAGTAAATAGTCCTAAATGGGCATGATATCGGATACCGAGTTAAAATAAAAAAGCATGCTGTACAAAATATTTTGATAAGTATGTACCTATCTACTTAGAATATCTTAATCACCTTGATTGATAAGGGTATTTCGATTTGTTAATCGCTTAAAAGATATCACAATTAGGCTATCCAATATAGCCATAGTGGATGGTAAATGTGTTTAATAATTATTTATTAGAAACTGAAATAAAAATGGTACGTAAACATGTTTATTAATGTGACTTATATTTATTGTGCTTCCTGATTTTTAATCTGTAAATTAGATAGGTGTTAGATTAATCCAAGATATAGAGAAGAAGATGCGATAAGTACCCTAAATGTTAAAATATTTGGAGGTTGTATGCTGATCTAAAATTTTCTTTTGACTTTCTTTTATGTTGTCGAGTAGGTACCTACATTAATTACAAAGCTATTAGTGAGACCTACATAATATGTGTCTATATCCAGTAGTGGATAGAATCTAGATAATTAGATAAGAGATTAGATTCAACCATGTAATTTATACATGTGTAAATAAATATTTTTCTTTCAATATTTTTCTTTCAACTTTCGTGCAAATAAAAACGTTCTTATTCTTATTCAACTTTTTCAGAGGGTCCTTTTACTACTACTCCTAAGTCTATTCGCCGCGTCATGGGCAGAAGAACAAGTGGCCAGAGAGCCCAGGGTTGTGGAGATGACTATAGGAGTAGACATGAAGCCCCCTGAGGAGTGGGACAGTCTACCTACGAGGAATGTCTTCACCAGCTGGATGCCCATCCCATTAGATCACTTTGACCCTCATAACTCCATTACTTTTAATATGGTACGTTTAATTTTTTCATTTCCTTTTTTATGGAATAGGATGGCAAATAGTGCCCACTGCCCATGGGCACCTGCGAAACCAGACGAGTTACAAATGCCTTTTAATAATTGAAGAGGAATTATTGTGGTCCAATTGAGAACTTGCTTGATCAGGCATTTTTATTAAATGCAATAAAAAAGATAAACTCTTATAAACTCTTTTTTTTATTGTAGAAATTCATGTTCAACGAAGAATTCTTTGGAGGCGATGGATCTCCGATATTCATCCTAGTTGGTGGAGAGTGGGACATCAACTATCGTTGGTTGCTGGCTGGCAATATGTACGAGATGGCCCGAGAAAACAAAGGATACCAGATATACACTGAACATCGCTATTATGGAGAAACTAAAATTTTCGAGTAAGTTGAAAACCATGGAAAGTTTAAGAAAAGCTGTTGGTATAACTTTTGTCATAGTAAGCTATTAAAGGCTGAAAAGGCAAAAATAAATTGCTTTCTTGTGGACAAGATCAAGGCAAGTTTGAAACGCTAAGCCCTTAAAAACTCATTTTCTAAGAAAATAAGATCACGTTAAGCCTTGCGGACTAAATAACCACTAAATTCATTTAAGTACTGCTTTTATAACAGGAATATACCATCGTTTACTTTTCGTAGATACCCATGTACTACTATTTATATCTTCTTACAGTGAGTTCACTACTGAAAACTTACGTTTCTTGAACATTGATCAGGCGCTCGCTGACCTTGCGTATTTCATAGTAGAGATGAAGAAACAGGCGCGCTTTGCTAACAGCAAAGTGATATTGTACGGAGGATCATACGCTGCTAACATGGTGATGTGGTTCAAGAAGCGTTATCCTCACTTGGTGGTCGGCTCCGTCGCGTCCAGTGGACCGATCCTAGCCAAAGTTGATTACACTGGTTTGTATTTTTATACCGCTATCCAATATTAGCGAAAAATATTATCCATTTTATATAATTGAGTCCATCCAAGTTGGGAACAAAATGTAAGTAAGGCTGAGTCTAATCAATAAGCCTTATCATACATAATAATTACCTGCTAAGCCTACTCACATGTGGATTTATTACGTGGACAAAGAGATAGAACCTCCAAACATTGATCTCAAAGCCAATCTGATGAAGCAAAGAACGAAAATTTATATATTTGTTATTGATTTCAGAATACTTGGAAGTAGTACATGAAGCTTTTTTACTGGAGGGAGGAGAACAGTGCATATCACACATTCGACGAGGAATAGATGACACACTCGCCGCTTTACGCACAGAATCTGGAAGACGCATGGTGGAACAGGCGTATAGGTCAGTATTCAAGACTATAGAGGACAAACAAAATCCTCAAAACTAAAAATGTAAATGCGAAAGAAATCATATGGATGGATATTTCGAACATTAATGCTGTTCTCACTAGGCTAGTAGTAGGCATAACACACTGCATAATTTTGTGTAGTTTTCGGGCTTCGTACGGAGTCGTACA